ACCCTGTTGTTTGGGAAATAAAGACATAACGCTGATTAATGTCGTTTACATGTACCTATGGTATGGATTAAATGGAGACAAGGGAAATAACTTTTATTACGTACCCAAGTCCGCGAATTCAAGAAATCGCAATCGTGTCAGATGAGAGATAAACGTGAAAATTAGAACCCATGAAAATAATCCCCTATACAGTAATTTGATTAAGACACCAATTTTTCCTTGAAGAGAGATTTATTTCTCTGTTTGGTTGACACCAATAAAGAGTTTAAATAATACACTGTCTAGTTCCAGAATTAGATAAATGGGTACACTACATTGTTATTAGGGTTCTTTAGAAATCTTATGCCATGTAATTCTTGGTTTACATTATTGTATCACATAAAATTCATTATTCCAGACCTTTCATCTAGAGCTGCTCCACGGATTTCTGGAAAGTCTGGAAGTGGAGGAACCAGAACAAATGGTGGAGAAGACAATCCACTTACCTGAGGAGGAGGGTATGTTAAAATTGTGTGGAGAGAGAGAGAGAGAGAGAGAGAGAGAGAAGGGTATGTACTCAGTAGTGTGGAGAGAGAGAGAGATAATCCACTTACCAGAGGAAGAGGGTGTGTACTCTGTAGTGTGGAGAGAGAGAGAGAGAGAGAGAGAGAAAGTGTGAGAGAGAGAGAGAGAGAGAGAGAGAGAGAGAGAGAGAGTGAGAGAGAGAGAGAGAGAGAGAGAGAGAGATAATCCACCTACCAGAGGGAGAGGGTATGTTCTCAGTAGTGTGGAGAGAGAGAAATAGAAAGAAAGATAGAGAGAGAGAGAAAATTCACTTACCAGAGGGAGAGTGTATGTTCTCAGTAGTGTGGAGAGAGAAAGAAAGAAAGATAGAGAGAGAGAGAAAGAGAGAAACAAAGAGAAAATTCACTTACCAGAGGGACAGGGTATGTACTCAGTAGTGTGGAGAGAGAGAAAGACAATCCACTTACCAAAGGAAGAGGGTATGTACTCAGCAGTGTGGAGAGAGATAGAGAAAGAAAGATAGAGAGAGAGAGAGAACATTCACTTACCAGAGTAAGAGGGTATGTACTCAGTAGTGTGGAGAGAGAGAAATAGAAAGAAAGATAGAGAGAGAGAGAAAATTCACTTACCAGAGGGAGAGTGTATGTTCTCAGTAGTGTGGAAAGAGAGAGAGAAAGAGAGAGAGAAAATCCACTTAGAAGAGGGAGAGGGTACATGTATGTACTCAGTGTGGAGAAAGAGAGAAAGAAAGATAGAGAGAGAGAGAGAAAGATAGAGAGAGAGAGAAAATTCACTTACCAGAGGGAGAGTGAATGTACTCAGTAGTGTTGAGAGAAAGAGAGAGACAGAGGGAGAATCCACTTACCTGAGGAAGAGGGTAACCAGGGTCCCATAGAGAAGTGAAATTGGGGTGAGAATGATCTGATATACCAGAGGAAGACAGTATCTAGGGACTCAGTACAGAAGTGGAGAAACTAGGGTCTCACAGGGAAGGTGGGGGTGTAGTGTTCAGAGAAAGATGATAAAAATGGTTTCAACAGTGAAATGTTAAGGAAGGGGGCATTCACCTTATAAACCTGAGGAAGATGGTAACTAGGAATCCCAACAGTGTGGATTGATTTCATATATTTTCGTTTCCCATTTTGTTTAAACAAAATATACTGTATACCATATAAGTAGAAATTTTAGCGAAGATTTAATTTTGGCAATGTTAGCGAGGCTGCTGAGATCGCTAAAATTACATATCGCTAAAAATTTATTGCGTATTATTTGTAATAGGTTCTTTAATCAACATTTTTAAATCGCTAAAATTACATCTCACTAAAAATAAAATATCAGTTTTTAAGAACAAATTGCTAATTTTGTGTCTCGCTAAAATTTCCACATGCAGTATTTACAGTGAATCCCCCCCCCTCCCCTCCCTTTTTTTAACTTGGGAAAATTTAAAATAAACATTTTCTTATAAACAGCTGAACTGTATCTATGTGAAAATCAAATCAAATTGTTTTCAGGATTGATAGTGTGAAAAATATCTAAGCAGAAATATTCCTGCATATAGTTGATGCTAAAAGAACTGCACTTTTCGTTTTGGATATTAATGTAAATATTAACGCAAATATATAATGTTTTAATTGAGTTTCTGAAAAGTTCAAAGAATGCCATTGTAATGTCACTTTAATACTGATTAGCTTTATTGTAACAGATGATTCCAGTGAGATTGGTCATACCATTATAATGTCACTCTAATACTGATTAGCTTTTTTGTAACAGATGATTCCCGTAAGATTGGCCACGTCCGTAACTCCACCATTATAATGTCACTTTAACACTGATTAGCTTTATTGTAACAGATGATTCCTGTGAGATTGGCCACGTCCATAACTCCACCAGACAGTTACCTTCTTCAGGTCCTACTGAGTTCTCTAGACCAACCTTCACCAAACTTGACACACCTGCTGCTGGGCTTTGACATTAGGAAGTCTGTTAGCAGAACTCTGTTGCAGGACCCAGGTGAGCTGAGAAAAGAAGCTTTGTTTAAATTTTACTTCAAGATGCAAAAGATTTTTAGATCTACCAATGAAAATTTTGCAATTTCGCAAATTTAATTTGAATTTCTAAAACCAGGTATCCTTGGGTCCTCTAAGACCTGTCTACATGCGGTCCTGTCCCTGTTAGAGAGGGGGGTGGGGACACACTCCGGCCCCATCTGCTTGAGGGACACTCCACGACTGTTGGAGCTGGCCTACACAAACACATCTACCTCCTGGCTGCCAACAAGGAGCTAGACGTCGACGCCCACTTTAAGATATTTATGTACAACCAGGGACTTCCTGTATAGACAGCTCCAGTATCTACCTTTCACTCAGCAGTTTTACAGCGAGTTCAAGTTTAATTCAGAATTTCTCTATATCGTAAAAAATGTTTCTAAAAATTAAGATTATTTCATTTATTAAAGAGTTGTTTCAGTGATATACTTGCATGTAATACATATACATTTTAATGTGTGCAGAGAGGCTAAGTCAAACCTTATATTATCATATTTGTGACTGTTTCTTTTTAGTCAACGCCCTGTTATGATTTCTCAGTCATGGTTGCTGAAGCTGATTGCCATTGAACTGCGACTGACTGCACTGAACCGTCAAAGGTCATACACACTGAGGTTAATGAAAGCCCTGCTGGATGATGGGTCAGAAGGTCAATCAGGTAAGGTCAAGTTCAAAGGTCACACACGCTTAGGTTAATGAAAGCCCCGAACGATGGGTCAGAGGGTCAAACAGGTAAGGTTAAGTTCAAAGGTCACACGTACAAGCTGAGGTTAATGAATGTCTTGATCCATGTGTATTAAGGGGTTAAAATGGTAAAGTCAAGTTTAATAACAAAAAATCAAAACGGTCTGATTTGCCAAAGAAAGTAATAAATGTGACTCTCACAGTGTTACAGCCAGCATTAGGAGACGAAGCTGACCTGACGTATGACAAATTTACAGAGCAGAGTCTACAAACATCTTATCTGTCTCAGACAGCCAGGCCGTTCAGAAGTTAGCTAAGAAAAACATAAAAAATTATCACACTGCTCTTCTTTTGCTCATAAAAACTTGTTCAGACTTTATTTTCCTTGTTCAGGCTGCAAAGTGCACAGGAAGTTGCTAGGACTTCTGGACGAAGTTGACTTTTCACAGCGATATCCTCCTGGTGAGATCAATATCATGGTGACTCAGAGACCGCGAGTTTTAGAGGTGAGATCAATATCATGGTGACTCAGAAACCGCGAGTTTTAGAGGTGAGATCAATATCATGGTGACTCAGAGACCGCGAGTTTTAGAGGTGAGATCAATATCATGGTGACTCAGAGACCGCGAGTTTTAGAGGTGAGATCAATATCATGGTGACTCAGAAACCGCGAGTTTTAGAGGTGAGATCAATATCATGGTGACTCAGAAACCGCGAGTTTTAGAGGTGAGATCAATATCATGGTGACTCAGAGACCGCGAGTTTTAGAGGTGAGATCAATATCATGCTGTCTCAGAGACCGCGAGTTTTAGAGGTGAGATCAATATCATGGTGACTCAGAGACCGCGAGTTTTAGAGGTGAGATCAATATCATGGTGACTCAATGACCGTGAGTTTTAGAGGTGAGATCAATATCATGTTGACTCAGAGACCGCGAGTTTTAGAGGTGAGATCAATATCATGCTGACTCAGAGACCGCAAGTTTTAGAGGTGAGATCAATATCGTGCTGACTCAGAGACCGCGAGTTTTAGAGGTGAGATCAATATCATGGTGACTCAGAGACCGCGAGTTTTAGAGGTGAGATCAATATCATGGTGACTCAGAAACCGCGAGTTTTAGAGGTGAGATCAATATCATGGTGACTCAGAGACCGCGAGTTTTAGAGGTGAGATCAGTATCATGGTGACTCAGAGACCTCGAGTTTAGAGGTGAGATCAATATCATATTGACTCAGAGACCGCGAGTTTTAGAGGTGAGATCAATATCATGCTGACTCAGAGACCGCGAGTTTTAGAGGTGAGATCAATATCATGCTGACTCAGAGACCGCGAGTTTTAGAGGTGAGATCAATATCATGCTGACTCAGAGACCGCGAGTTTTAGAGGTGAGATCAATATCATGTTGACTCAGAGACCGCGAGTTTAAGAGGTGAGATCAATATCATGGTGACTCAGAGACCTGGAGTTTTAGAGGTGAGATCAATATCATGGTGACTCAGAGACCGCGAGTTTTAGAGGTGAGATCAATATCATGGTGACTCAGAGACCGCGAGTTTTAGAGGTGAGATCAATATCATGCTGACTCAGAGACCGCGAGTTTTAGAGGTGAGATCAATATCATGGTGACTCAGAGACGGCGAGTTTTAGAGGTGAGATCAATATCATGCTGTCTCAGAGACCACGAGTTTTAGCGGTGAGATCAATATCATGGTGACTCAGAGACCGCGAGTTTTAGAGGTGAGATCAATATCATGGTGACTCAGAGACCGCGAGTTTTAGAGGTGAGATCAATATCATGCTGTCTCAGAGACCTCGAGTTTTAGAGGTGAGATCGATATCATGGTGACTCAGAGACCTCGAGTTGTAGAGGTGAGATCGATATCCCAATCATTAAGCATTTAAGATCCTTCCTTACTTAATCCTCTTTGTGTCAGGTGATGTAAATCTAGCTACACAGTCTCTCTTCCCACCATTGATTTCACTCTTCTCCATGATGGCTGTCTCTTTCATGGTGTCTTAATTTCTTTGACCTGCCCCAGGGATGTCAACATTTCAGCAAAACCTAAAAGTTTTATAAATTTTTCAGGAAGTGGAGAATATTCTGCATCATGTGGTGCTACGTAACAGAATCCGACAGGAACTGTCCACCAAACAGCAGGCTCTGGAGGCGTGGTGTCAGAATCCACTAGGAACTGTCCACCAAACAACAGGCTCTGGAGGCGTGGTGTCAGAATCCACCAGGAACTGTCCACCAAACAGCAGGCTCTGGAGGCGTGGCGTCAGAATCCACCAGGAACTGTCCACCAAACAACAGGCTCTGGAGGCGTGGTGTCAGAATCCACCAGGAACTGTCCACCAAACAACAGGCTCTGGAGGCGTGGTGTCAGAATCCACCAGGAACTGTCCACCAAACAGCAGGCTCTGGAGGCGTGGTGTCAGAATCCGCCAGGAACTGTCCACCAAACAACAGGCTCTGGAGGCGTGGTGTCAGAATCCGCCAGGAACTGTCCACCAAACAGCAGGCTCTGGAGGCGTGGTGTCAGAATCCACCAGGAACTGTCCACCAAACAGCAGGCTCTGGAGGCGTGGTGTCAGAATCCACCAGGAACTGTCCACCAAACAGCAGGCTCTGGAGGCGTGGTGTCAGAATCCACCAGGAACTGTCCACCAAACAGCAGGCTCTGGAGGTGTGGTGTCAGAATCCACCAGGAACTGTCCACCAAACAACAGGCTCTGGAGGTGTGGTGTCAGAATCCACCAGGAACTGTCCACCAAACAGCAGGCTCTGGAGGCGTGGTGTCAGAATCCACCAGGAACTGTCCACCAAACAGCAGGCTCTGGAGGCGTTGTGTCAGGTGATCGAGGTTCTGCTGACCGCGTGTCCTGAGGACCTACTTACCGCTGAGGACAGACTGTTCTGTTTGAGCTGCTACAGGAACTACAGACAAAGGTAGAACAACATTTGTATGTCTTGTTTACCAACTCAAAGGTATTGGGTATTAACCTCCCAGAAAATGAACATCTAACCAATGCTAACATTGGACCAAATGTCATTTCTTTACCAAAGGTTAAAGTGTAAGTCTTGCTAATATAATTATATGAGACTTGAATTGTATGAAGAAAGGTAACATTCCTTTTAATCTTTTCACAGATATTTTTGTTGACAGATTGGTTGGGGGGGGGGGGTGGAGAACAAATATGTTTGGTTTTAGGGAAAGAAAAAGTTGTGATATTTCTTTGCAAGATACTGCATTCAGTATTGATAATTAAAAAGCTATTCATTATTTTTAGGTGACAGAGGATGAAGCGTTGACAGAGTTAACTGCCCCTGTGACTGAGATCATTCTTACTTTGATGACAAATCTACGTCAGTGTTTCTGTCAGGATTCTGACACCGACGACGAAACCTCACACTTCCTCACCATGCTGGACTCACAGCAGGTCAAGGTCAAACAGGGTCATGGGGTCAAGTGTCAGGGTCACGAACCCAATTTGCTTCCTCCCTTCAACTGGTGCTTAGAGGATTAATAGATCACATTCTGCTCTCAAGTAAGAATATATCGAAATATCTGAAGTTTACAAGTGTATGTTCATAAAACTATAATTTCAAACAACTTTGTACAAAAATAAGAAATTTTAATCAATATTTAGTTCTGTTAGGGTGGTGGCCAGCAGTGAGTAGAGAGAAAGAGCCAATCTATATGGGGCCCTGCTGTTTATCTAAAAATCGTTCAGAAACCCAAGTCACTGACTCACATAGATACAGGTATGTCTAAGTAGATGTAAGAATATAGTTGGACATAGACTACCAGTTATTTTGCTATACATTTCTTTATAACATAAAAAATATTTTAAAAAATTACACCGGCTCAACTTACCTGAAACTTGCACAGAGTAAGACCATTTCAAGTCCAAAAATTTACCAAGTTCTCAGGAACATTCATAGTCTGCAAGTCCTTTTATGGCATCGCAAATAACCCTTACCCTGTTTTTTTCACTTTCTCTTTGAGGAAAGGGTTAATATGGGCCTCTTTCACCCCTCCCTACTATGCACTTAAAAGCAAAATTTTCCATTATTATCATTTTAAAAAATTATAATTTTTTTCAGACCCTCTCCTTTCCATTTATGCCCAAAAATAACTGCTTTTTACTCCATAAACACTCCAAAGAATTTTTAAGAAAAAACCCTCTATTTTTAAACTGGAACTACTTGAGTGGTCAATGAAATAGGGGTAAAATTAGTAGTCTGTAACCTAATAAGGACACAAACCTTGTCTGATTTTGCTGAAATTTGACATGCTGGTATCTTTGGTTTATACAAAGTGGCCGATGAAGTTTCATCGAAATTGATGATCCCTTAACAGAGTTATGGCCCTTTAAATAATGTGCTGGAACACCTTAAAGCAGAGGGTAAAATAAGCATTAGACATACAGTTCTCAGATTTGAAATGCTCACAACTCACATTTATAACAGTAATTTTCTTTTCTTATATTTTTGTTAACTAGATAAAAATGCCCGACACAAATTTTAAGAAAAAAACTTAACCTTTTACTTTAGTAAATATTTTTTTAAAAAAATTTTAAAAAATACCTTCAAAAAGCATAAAATTCTTGAAAATATTAAAAATAAAAATATTTAGCACATTTAAATTTTAGTAAAAGTAATATTAAAAAATTCTACAATGTTTAGGCTATGAAAATCAGTATAAAAGCTAAGGAAAAGAGATTAATACCTTTGTTATAAGCAGATTGTCCAACCTGGTTGATTCAGCCTCTGTCAGGAAGTGGTACTTACAACTGTAATTGGATTATCCCTGGTCATATTTAGACTTCTTTGATGGATATTTCTTGTAACAATATGCATGATTAGACAAAAAATACCATAAATTCTATGAAAATTTGAATTTTATAATTCTGAATTTACAAAAAAAGGAATTTAAATATACATTTTACCTACATACATTCTTTAGGCTGCTGTAAAAAAGGGGAGGCAACTCTGCACTGTAAAGGTACCAAAGAACAGAACAATTAAAACGCATATTTACATACATTCAATTGTTAAACACAGAAAATACATACCATGCCTGTGTCACATATAATTAGTCCTGGAGTTGCTTGGAAGTTCACTATTAAGAACAGGAAGGGGTGGGGGGGGGGGGGGTAGAGAAGGTTCTATTAAACTGGATTACATAAGTTCTGTCTGTCTTGTGGAGCACTATTTCTGCACAAAGTTTATCCAAATTCTCTAAAACACCTGTCTTTGTCAAAAATTGATGATTTTGTCTGATATGCGACCACCGACAATGATGTCCAAGATTCCACAAGAGTAGAAAAAGGCAGTACGTAGGACCAAACATCCCATATAATATGTTGAGCACCTTACTGACCTCCCCTGTCTTGGACAATCACAGATCAGTGCCAGCAACCAGACAGCAGATGTTCATTTCCAAAAGCTGAAGGAAAAAAAGAAAGTTTTAGAGAGTATACATTAATAAGCAACAGATGATAATGAACAGATGAAAACAGTATATAAAACAGAAAACAAACAAAAATAATACAAACTATGAATCAGTTGATTGTATACCTTTAACTTAAATGGCTGCTTTTGACTGCAATATTGATGACAGCTGTACCTTGTTTTCTGAATCCTCAAGCACTTTCTCTGCTTCTGGTACAAAAATTGTTCACTTCTGACTGGAAGTCACCCATCCAGGCTTCAACTGCATTCATCCCCACAATCTGCTAAATATGAGCCACTAAAAATGAATTTAAAAGCATTTAATCTTCAGTTCACATTCATAATTAATAAAATATTGTGTCAAATTAATAAGTAATTGGGACAACTATAATTACAAACACCAAGTAGCTTAAGTTTTGAGAAATTCCTACTAAAAATAGTGCAATCTGAACAATCAAATGTTAAAAACATACCTTAATTGGTTTTTGAACTCCATTTGACATTTAAGATAACAGGATAGGTGGGGAATGGGTTCTATGTTACCTACAACATTATATAAAGAATCAAAATTCATATTGCATAAATTCTTGACACACATCAATTGCACACATTATGTCATACCCTTTGACAACCTGAGCAGGTGCCCCTCCCCCTTTTTTAATTATTTAAATCCATTTAACTTCTCCGAAATATAATTTTATCTAGGGAGGTCAAAGTTGTCATAATATTATTGATATTCGAATATTCGATATTCAATAAAATAAATACATCTTGCATTATTAAATATACAAGCTGATTGTAAGAACTGGATACTATTATACTACTAATTAAGTGAACAAATAAATAAATTACTCTAATAGATACACTCTTCAAGAGAAGTGTTTTTTTTTTTTTTCATTTTGTACAAACTTTATTCAATTTCTAATTAAACTTGCTAGGTTTTTCTCTCTTTATAATACTTGTATACTTAAAAACGAATATTTGAATCATAAATTTATATTCGAATATCAACTCATCAAATGAATATTCGAATATTCGTTGACATATCTCATTTTATCCATTAATTGTTTCAACAATTGGCATGATTAGTTCCAAATTATCTGAAAAGTGCCAATAAACTGAGTAACACAAGTTTTGACCTTTGACCTGATAGGACACAGACTACCAATTATTTTGCAACACAATTCTTTATAAGATAAAAAATATTTCTAAAAATTATACCTGCTCAACTTACCTGAAACTTGGCACAGAGTAAGACCATTTCAAGTCCAAAAATTTACAAAGTTCTCAGGAACATTCATAGTCTGCAAGTCCTTTTATGGCATCGCAAATAAACCCTACCTTGCTTTTTAGCTCACCTGAGCTAAAGGCTCAAGTGAGCTTTTCTGATTAAAATTTGTCCAATGTCTGTCGTTGTCGTCGTTGTTGTTGTCGTCGTAGCCGTTGTTGTTGTTGTAAACTTTTCACATTTTCATCTTCTTCTCAAGAACCACTGGGCCAATTTCAACCAAACTTGCTACAAAGTATCCTTGGGTAAAGGGGATTCAAGTTTGTTCAAATGAAGGGCCACGCGCTTTCCTAAGGGGAGATAATTATGAATTAGAGAAAAATTAATAGCATTGTTAAAAAATCTTCTTCTCAAGAACTACTGGGCCAGGAAAGATGAAACTCATGAGGAATCATCCTAAGGTTGTGTAGATTCAAGTTTGTTAAAATCATGACCCCCGGGAATAGGGTGGGGCCAAAATAGCCGACCAAAGTTTTACATAGGAATATATAGGAAAAATCTTCTTGTCAAGAACCATTGAGACCAGAAAGATGAAACTCATGTGGAATCATCTTCAGGTAGTGTAGATTCAAGTTTGTTCAAATCTTGACCCCCGGGGGTAGGGTTGGGCCAAATGGCCAATAAAAGTTTTAAATAGGAATATATCTAGGTAAACCTTTTAAAATTTTTTTTTTCAAGTACTTCAGAGCTTAGTGATATTTATAGGGAATCATCCTCAGGTATTGTAGATTCTAGTTTGTTCAAATCATGACCCAAAGGGGGGGGGGTCAAAATTCAAGACCCCCCAGAAGGAAACTTTATATCCTTGTGTACATGTATTTTTATTTCCACTGGTTTCATATTGAACAGGTTCCAGCAGTGCAAGACCTATATTATAATTATTGTCTGTTGTAGATGCTGGCTCTATCAGTAAGCCAACATTCTCTCTATGGACAAGTTCCAGCAGTGGATGACCTTTCTGTCCTCTTAAGATTACCTCCAACACCTGGTGGACAGCCTTCTCCATGACGACCAGCCACTACAGACCCTTGTGCCCCCCACCCCCCAACTCAGAGTGCTATACATCTTCCTGCAAAACTAATGTAAGTCTTCCATTACTGCCTTATTGTACCACCACATTTGTCATCATGCATCTAACCAA